ATGTCCGACATAGAGGCGGGACGCCTCTATGTCGGACATAGCGGCAGGGGGCGCCTCTTGAAAACGGGCAAAAACCGCCCTGCCCCCATGTCTGACATAGAGGCATCCTTCCTCTATGTCGGACATAGCGCCGGGGCGTCCAAGGGAGCAGACCCGGGAAGATCGCCTGCCCGGCTTCGTGCACTTGTACCAAAGATAACATGCTCTGTGACAACGCCCGGGCGATCCCGTGCACCGTGCTGCCATCTGTTTTAAACAGGGGCGTTATTCCCTTCCTCCAGCCCTGCTGAAGCCTGCAGAGTGCTCCTGGGGACCGGGGAGGACAAAAACTTTTTTTTATTACTTAATTCTTCAAAATCTTGGTGTGTTTTATAAACCGGTATGTTTTATAGTCCAAAAAATACAGTGTGTGTGTGTGTGTGTGTGTGTGTGTGTGTGTGTGTGTGTCTGTCTGTCTGTCTGTCTGTCTGTCTGTCTGTCTGTCTACCTGTCTATTTATCTTTAACTTTTCAACTTTGGACTGTGAGAACTGAGAGGGAATGTAATATTCTTTGATTTTCTTTGCAAATTCTCTGAAATAAGAACAGGGTTTAAGAAAAAAAAACTTTATTCCAGCAACTGCATATATTCTACTGAGTGATGTAAGGCTTTTCTAGAATCAATAATTTAAATTCAGTTGTAGCATTCTCATTTGTGGTGGTATTAACTATTGGAACAATGGCGTGCAGTTTGTGGTTGAGCTGTCTTTTTTTATTTATGTTATTCCTTTAACCTGATCACCCAGAAATAATCCAGAACTTGGCTTCTTGTGGTTGAATGCTGCAAAGCTCATTCATCTGGAACAAAGAAGAAAATAAATGCCCTTATTCTTCCTGTAAAACTTCTTATTACACTTGTTCTTCCTGCCAGTCAGGAATAAAATCAGAGAAGTAGGAAAAGGCAGTTCAGTTGCCTAGCCTAAATCAGCTGAAGGAACTGTCAGAGTGATCAATGGCAGTTCAGCACTGAGCTTTCTTTATAGTTCAAAAGATGCCAAGCCCAGTTCTTTGCTTCGTATTATATCTGGCAGCTTCCTTCTCTTCATGTTGCAGAAATGGAAAAATTGGGGTAGCATATTTTGTTTTTTTCTAAAAGGCAGCACCAGGGAAATCTCTAGGGTGAGGATTGGTTTTTCCTAGTTTCTAAAGGTATCTGAATGAATGTGCTGTTCTTATCCTTAATAAAAGTTTCCTGTTCGTAGTACTAAGCGATTGAATATTGCTCACTGGGGAATTCTGGGAGTAAAGTCTGTGCATCTTAAAATTGCTGAGGTTGAGAAACACCGACTTAGATTTATAGCAACAAAATACTGTGGTTTTGTGTGACTTTCACATTATGGTTGATTCATTTCTAATTGAAAAGAATGATTTTAGAATCTTTTCTTTTTGCATTTCCTATGCCCTTAAAGATCTTTTGAGATTTATGGGTTTGTTTATTAATTCAGGTTTATATGCCACACTGGTTGAAGACTCTGAGCTACTTATGAAATCAATATATACAGTTAGTAGGGTTAAAAGACAATATAGAACCAGGGATGAAAAGCAACTAATAAAGATAACTGACCGCAGAATTATGCAGTTCATATTCAGGTCATCTTGCCTTGGTATTGCTTTGTAGCACCTTATTACTGTTTTTTATGTTGTAGTAGATTTTTTTTAGCATTTCTATTTTAAATGGTTTAAATGTATTTTTTTTCAACATTTCCAAATAGTATAATAATATATAAGTACATAAGTAAAGCCTCTTCTCACATTCCACAGATAACAGGAAAAGTCATGGCTAATGCCTTAACTAGTTTCCATTCCAATTTAATATGTTTATGTTTAGGTAAAATGTTTACCGTATTTTTTGGACTATAAGATTCACACACCTCCCATCCCCCCAAAAGTGGGTAGAAATGTCTGTGCGTCTTATAGAGCGAATGTAGCTGAAGCCCTGCCCACCAGCTGGCCCACACCTTTTAGCCTCTGTTTGTGTGCATACTTTTAAATTATTCTTGACAATCCTGGTGATTGTTTGGACAAGTCCTTGCAGTTTTCTTGGCAAGATTTCAGGAATGGTTTGCCATTGCTTGCTTCAGAGGTGGGTTGCTGCCAGTTCGGCCCAGTTCAGTTCAGCTGAATTCAGGCCTGGGTTGCAGAACCGGTTGACATGCCCCTGAACTGGTTTCCTTGCTGCCACTTGGCCGCCACCATTTTGGATTTTAGTGTCTGCGCGTGTGCAGTTCACTGTAAATTGTTCATGCGTGCAGAACAATTTACATTAAACAGTGCACTCAGTGCACTTTGTGCACGGGTTGCGAACCAGCAGTAAAACTGGCAGCAACCCACCCCTGGCCTGCATTCTAGTGGCTGTCCCAAGGTCACCTAGCTGGCTTCAGGCCCAAGGGCAGCACTAAACTCTTCTGAATTAAAGGGATGCCATAACCATCACACCAAACTTGTTTTGATTTTTTCTTGGATTGTTTTCATTTACAGAATGCATGAAACAATAGTGTGCAGCAAAGAAAATGGCAATATTTAGCACTTCTTCTGTTTCCAGCAATGCTTATATTCCCCATTGAGAACCTTTTTACATTGCCTCATGCCCACCACCTACTTCAGCTGCTGGACATGCTCTACATGCAGTTGCTTTTAAAGACTACCTGAAAGCCACAGTTAATGCAAAAGGCAGTGGATTAGATCCTTATTGGCCGTTGTTCATGGAATCATATTACATCTGCACTGGATCCTTATTACCATCTGATTTAAAGTATTGGCTTTCACCCATGTTGCTCTTTAAAGCTTGGCTCTAAGTTACTTGCAGAACCTCTGGAATTCCCAACCTTGGAATTAGCTTGACTGATCCTATTTGGAGAAGCAGCTGGCTCTTCCCTGCTTTGGGGAGGTTAAGAGGGCCGAAGCCCAGAAGCAGTCCTTTTTCTGATAAATGGGTGTTTGAGAAATGGCAGCACCTATTTATTTTTAGTGGAGTTTTTGTGTTTTGGGTTATTTTATATATATTGTATTTTAATTTGGGATATTTATTTATCCCAAATTTATCCCATCTTTATTATTTTTACAAATAACTCAAGACAGTGAACATATCCAACACACCTTCCTCCTCCTATTTTCCTCATAACAACAACCCTATGAGGTGAGTTGGAATGAGAGGGAGTGACTGGCCCAAAGTCATCCAGTTAGCTTTCATGGCTAAGGTGGGATTTGAACTCACACTTTCCTCCTTTCTATTCTGCTGCCTTAACCTTTAGAGCAGGGGTTTCAAACTGGTGGCATGCCCACTCCGCGAATGGGAAAAAAGTCACAAAATGTTACGTGATGGCAACGTAATGCCGCAAATTTGACACCTGTGCACTAGACCAATTGTAAGCTGCCAAAGGGACTGTTTGGTTTTCAGTGGGGTATATTTCAATGAACAAATAAGAAAACTATACCCTTGAGGTAGATAGTTTTATAAATTAAGAATTATAGGGGGTGGGAGTCCAATACTTTGGAAGAAAAGTAGACATAAATAAGTCATGCCTTTTCCAAATCCCATAAATCCAAGAAAAGAAGCACTTGGTTTAAGGAGGTGCAGATGGGCCCACCCTGCTCACCATGTGTGCTCCAAAACATTTCCTTTTTAAAATTCTACTCATTAATCATCTCTACCTATATTACTAAAATATGCACTCTTGTGTTTAGCAGAAACTCAATGAGTGTAATTTTCAGGTAGATTTTGATAAGAAACTGGTTTATTTCAGAAAGTAGCAAGTATAAACACTGGGTTATTTCTCCTCTTCTTTCATTTTAGTTGCTTTTTGATATGCCATACAACAGGACTTTAGAAGCTGAAGCTGACAAGGTGGGACTTCAGTTTGCTGCTAAGGTAAGAATTGTCTTTCTTTGTTAGAGTTTCAGTTGAATTCTCAGTAGCTGACAAATAGCTTTCCCCTTTAGTTGTAATGTCTTTAATTTTAGTCTTGGGATTATTTTCTTCCACTAACTTTGTATACATTCTTAATACATGTATGTATATACACTTATAGGTCTATATATGACATGCATATCATTATATACCATCACTGCCACCTAGTGATAATAAAAATGTATATGAGGTTTTTAGAATATGTGAACTGTTTGGACTGCTAAATACAGCATTATATTTAAGTAGTGTTCTAGCTCATGTTAATTAACAACAATATCAGGAACTTTCCTTTATATTTGTGGGCCAGAATTCTTTAAATTCCTTTCCAGGATTTTATCATTTATACAATGATGAATCAACTTAAATGGTTTCTATAGAAAAACCACACTATTACTACTTTATAATGATAACATTCATTCTTTCAAAAAAGGGAAGATGGGGTAAGTAAAGTAGTCTTTATTTGATCAATGACCAGCACAAGGAAAAATGGGAGTAAGCAGTGAAATCCAAATAGCTACTTTCTTTCAACCCATAACATTCAATCTATACAATTAATTAAAAGTTGGAACATAACACATCGCTACACATCACATGTTCTCCGCTACTATTCATGTATGTGCTGTGGTGCTGATATGAAAATCCAGGCTTGTTGTATGAAAGTACTACCTATCTGAAGGTGCTCATTTCCTCCCCCTCCCCCCAGGCATCTGCAGCAGGTTTTATCATCCCATGTTCACACCTTTGCATTATTGAATAGCCTTTTATGATGGGTCGCATGTATAAGTGGAATACGAATATGTAAACACACGCTTATTTAATGTATTTATTAAATTGATTTATATGGCCACCCATCTCACAAATGCAGCTTTTCACTAAAAGCGAAGGGGGGAAAAACTAATAGTGGTCACAGAAGATAAATCCAAACAAAACTATTATTAAAGATCTCTCAGCGGGCATTCAATCTCCTGACCCTGAGACCCCGGAGCACATCCAGATCTTCAGGCTTTATGAAAAGCCAGCAGGCTCAGAGGCAGTCTGATCCTGGAGTATATAGTGGAGTCAGTGAGGCTACAAATATTTCTTAAATAAAACTTTAAGATACAGAAAATTTTTAACCATTTATCCCCATAATATTTTTTCTAGTACCTTCTATATTTGTAAAGAATATTTCAAAACTTTTGTTTTTATCGTTTCCACATTGTACAGCAGTTTTGTTTCATATTTGCGTATGTGTGTGCATGTGCATGTTTGTTTTCCTGACAAAAGTCCACATCTTAGTTCAGGTAGTTTTGTTTCTTTTTGCAAAACTGGTATCTTCTTTTCAGCAGTGGGTTTCACATTTTGTTACCACTGGTTTGGCGTACACGCCCCTTCCGCGCATGTACTCAGCTATCCGCACATGCGCTTTGCTCGGGCGCACGCCTTCCATGCATGTGCTCAGCCTCAAAAATGACCCTAAATAGGGTGGCATAGAGCCGGGGCAGGTGGCAGGCCCACCCATGATTTCCGCTACCAGTTTGGGTGAACTGATCCAAACCTCCTTATATTTGTATATGAGTCAATTACTCATCTTCTATTCTTCTGTTCCAGTTAAATGAAATGACTTCCTCTTGTCACCCTCAAAAAGTTTCAGGCAAAACTGACTAAAGAGGAAGAGAGCAAATATGCCTACTTCCTTTCATTTGATATAATCCTCCCATGTGGATTAGTTTGAAGTAAGAGGAAAGAAGGTTAGGGAGGAGACAAACTAATTTGCTACCAAGATAAAAATGTTACAATTGAGCTACCTTATCCCATTGTGTCTGTTGCTTAGGGTTCTTCCTACTATGAGTGATTGCTTGAATAATCATGAGTTCTAAACAAGGATGTTTACCCAAACATTCTCTGCATAATTACAGTGGTTTTGAATTCTGAGAAGTCCATGCATCTGAGAACTGCCAGTTTAGAGAAGGTTAATTCTGACTCAGTAAATACATCCCATCTTTCTCCCACCCACACTTTCTGTGCATATGTTTAAAGAAAAAAATATTTTATTTTATAACATATAAAAATTCCATTTTCAATTAAACTGTGTTTGGTTACAAATAGTTTTAGGAAATAATAATTAGTGTTTACAATAATGTTCATTACATTAGTTTTTTCTGTGCATATTTAATCAACGTTTTCTATTGCTGCCTTAGTGTTTTCCCATGAATGTCAATGGGCAAAGGCTCTTATTGCCAACTGAATTTTTTTCACTCTACTACCTAGAAGCTGTTTGTTTTTAAAATGATGTAATAAAAGATAGTCATTTGAATCAAGCCAGACAATTTTGCAGATATTTACGACAATCTCTGGATACCTCTGAAAATGCCCACCTGATTTTCCATTTTGGTATGCACTGTTTGTTTTTTCTTGTTTGCTGATTTTGTATCCAGCATCCAACAACAATTGATTTTAGCAAATTACTTAATTTTCTTCTTGTAATCAGATGGTATTAGATATTACAGTATTGGTATCTATTAATACTTGTGCTAGCTGTTTCCTTGTAACAAACTTCAATGTAGGTAGCCTTATTCTGTTGTATTTGAGCTGCTCTAGAAGTTCAGTTATTTTTTCTTTCAATTCTTTATTTTATTTAGAGGGCTTTGTTCTTTCAATAAAACACTTCAATGACTATGCTGGCTTTTTATTTTTATTATTACCCCATTCACTTCTAAAGTGAGAAGGTCTACCAATTACTTTGGTTTCATAGCAAGGGATGTCACAATTCCTGCAATGAAAACAGTCCAGGAGTATTCCTATGCTTTCTGTCTTTTGCGTCTTCTTTGCTGACAGCAACTTCCCCGTCCTAGTACAGTGCCTGATGAAGATTGTGACTTGAGCAAAACCTCTAATATAGCAATTGGCTTCTATTTTATCAAGGCTGTAAATTATCTCAATGTTTGAGCCAGTTTGGTGTAGTAGTTAAGGCATCAGGCTAGAAACTGGGAAACCATGAGTTGAAGATCTACCTTAGGCACAAAGCCAGCTGAACCAGTCATTTACACTCACCCTAGCAAAGAGGCAGTGGCAAACCCCTTCTGAAAAACTTGCCAAGAAAACTTTAGGGACTAGTCCAGGTAGTCACCAGGAGTCAACCTGAGTCAAAGGTACCTCTCCAAAAACCTAATGACTTACTGTACTTGGTGAGTTTCAGCATATTGATAGCTTAGGAACTTCCCATAAGGTGAAGGTTCTCCTCGCACATATGTGCTAGTCGTTCCTGACTCTAGGAAGCAGTGCTCATCTCTGTTTCAAAGCCGAAGAGCCAGCACTGTCCAAAGACGTCTCTGTGGTCATGTGGCCAGCATGACTAAATGCCAAAGGCGCACAGAATGCTGTTACCGTCCCACCAAAGGTGGTTCCTATTTTTCAAACAGCTAGGTTGGCAGAACCTGGGGCAAGTAACGGGAGCTCACCCCATTAGGGCGTGCTAGGGATTCAAACCGCTGAACTGCCGACCTTTCTGATCAACAAGCTCAGCGTCTTAGCTACTGAGCCACCTTGTCCCTATCTTAGGAACTTCCCATATCTTATCGTAGGAACTTGCCATAGAAACCTATTTGATTAATGGATAAATTTCCTTTGTGTCAAGAGAGCATCAAGCAATATTTACAAGATTTCTAATTGTTGTGCAAGGAATTTCTGAAAATGTTTTTACTAAGCAGTTTTCTGCATATGTGTTTTAGGCTTGTATGGATGTAAGAGCCAGTTCTGTCTTCTGGCAGCAAATGGAACTGGCTAAGATTGTACAGAATGAACCCAAATTACCAGAATGGCTTTCTACACACCCATCACACGAGAATCGAGCTGAACAATTAGACAGACTGATACCAGAGGTTAGTCACTCTTTGTAAACCTTGCGTGCCCTGTCTTATTTGTTAATCACAGAGAATTTCACTCCACATGAAATCACTTAGCATTGAGATAATGTGGGTGTCCAGTCTCTTTAATGTGTTGCTGATAAATATACATAATGCATTTTACAATCTACCAGCAAAGATGCTTTATTTTGTCTTTCCCTTTTTTTTCTAAAGAAAATTGTCACCAGGTTGTGCGCTGTCAATTTGTACTGTGTTTTGCAATCCATGCATAGATGCTTCAAAATAATAATAAAATAAATAGTACAGAAATTGGCTAGTATAAGACATAACCCGAGATGACAGGGGTTAGTTTTCATAATTGACTTTCCAGTCATCCCTCCAGTCAGATGACCTGTGGTAAGAATACTGAGTGGACTGATACACGTATGGTCTATTTATTATTCTGTCTCATTCATTTCTTTACTCCCCTAGCGATTGGGTATTGAAAAGTTTGTGTTACTCTACTCCTCCACTTGTTCTAGTGGGAGTTACCATCTGTAAATTGCTTGCTCTTAGAATTGATGTCGTTGTATGTATGTTTGTTGTTCTCCCCCAAATGTGATTTTCATCCTTGTTCAAAGAGGATTCAGACTGTGGATAGTGGTTTGTGATGTAACAAGGAGAAAAAAGTATATAATGAACTAGTATATAATGTGTGCATGTATCTTTTGGCAGTCATTGGCACATTAAAGCATTGCATCAGAAGTACAGGTAGTCCTCGAGTTACAACCGCAATTAAGGCTAAAATTTCTGTTGTTAAGCAAAAAATTAAGTGAGTTTCCTTCCATTTTACAACCTTTCTTTCCACAATTTTTAAGTGATTCACTGCTGTTTTTAAAGTTAGTAACACTGTTGTTAAATGTATCTGGCTTCCCCATTGACTTTGCTTGTTAGAAGGTTGCATGACCCCAAGATATTGAAGCTATCATGAATAAGAGCCAGTTGCCAAGTGTCCAAATTTTGATCATGTGACTGGGGGATGCTTCAATGGTTGTAAGTGTGAAAAATGATCACAGGTTACTTGTTTTCAATGCCATTGTAACTTCGAATAATCAGTTGATGAATGGCTATAAGTGGGGGACTACCTGTATGTGGAATTCATATAGTTGATTTTAAGGAAATTACAAGTGGGCTCTCATCTAGTAACACATAATGCTTATTTTTAGTGTAATGAAGTATATAGAAATATGCATCATTTCTCTATTATTTGTGGATTTGCTGGATGCACAGAATGCAAATTATGCTTGCATTTAATAAGTGTAAAGAAACACAACAACTCTGCTGAGTTAAATACTCATCTAGACCACAGAATGAAATCAGCCAACAGGAATCCTGTGGGAAATTCACAGTTAGGGGAAAATAAGTAGAGTTTTATGTTGTAGCCTGAGGCAAAAATCCTCAGCTTCATTGATCAGTGGCACATTTGGAGTTTTGAGAGGTTATTTTGTGGGCATTGGACTGCCATAGTGGTGGATAGATGTCCTTTAATAAAATTGTGGTGGCGAACCTTGGCCAGTCTCTCTCTCTCTCTCTCTCTCTCTCTCTCTCTCTCTCTCCCTTCCTTCCTTCCTTCCTTCCTTCCTTCCTTCC